TGATTTTAACGGTAAAAGACTGTAAAAATGCTACAGTGCAAAACTGTTAATTGGTTAACAGAAAGTTTCCTTACTATACACGCTAAATAACTGTGATAGATCTAACGGTACATTTAATGTAATTTTACTGTAAAATACCGTTAAATTTGCAGTTTTTGAAAGTGAAAAGAACAACTCATTGTATGATTTACAGTGAAAAAACGTGAATTGACATTCCCACAATTCCCTGCATGACACTTCACATTTGATTTATTTTTGTTGAAATAACTATGTTTCTTCTTAGTTTTCTTAGTTCTTTTCTAATCGGTTATGCACATTAGGGTTTTATGTTACATTTAATGTTGTTAAATTAATGTTTATTGCATTTTTAAAATGTCATGTGTGTTACCATGATGGTGTTTAATGTTTGTGTGAATAACACTGTGCAGCTTCAATATAATAATATTAACTTTCTTGTGGAAGATTGCTTGTGATAAGCTTTGATTGATCATGTGACTCTCATCACTGCTGTGATGATTGTTGGTTGTCAGTGTATTACAATGGTACAAAACAGATATTAATACTTCAATAGGTTGGTAAATTATCATTATATCAGATAATGAATTATGGTTTATTACTGTAAATTTAAGTCTGTAAAACCAAAAAACGTTGATACCGTATTTTTGACGGTAAAGTTCTGGTAACCACAGCTGCCAGTTTTTTTTCCGTAAAAACAACGGGATTTTTTTTTACAGTGTACCCCTTGGCCCTACCCCTTGACGTGAACGCGCAAAACGGAGGGTGTCCCGATTCTTGTTGAGATCGAGGGGTAGGGCTAAGGGGTAGGGTGTCCCGATTCTTGTTGAGATCGAGGGGTAGGGCTAAGGGGTAGGGCTACATAGCCCTCGAAACGGAGATTTTTCAGAGGCACACTCCAAACGGAGGGCTACGAGAAAGTTTGGAGAATACATCGCGAATCACCGGCGAGATGGCTTCACAAACGGTTAAACATTTAAATTTAGCGCCAGATGACACCACCGTGCACTTTATTTACTCTTATAATAATTATATAGTCATTTAAATTAAGAAATTGTATAATAAATTACCTTTCCGAAACAGAAAAGACATACATTTCGAGGAAGGAAACGTTATAAGCATAATGTTTCCTCAAAGTTAAGAGCAGCTGCGCTGATTGTCAGTCGTTGTCATGGAGAAATCCTGTAAAAACTCCGTAACGGCAGAGCCATCGCCGACGACTGATGACGGATCGGGTTCATGAAGGGTTGCTCCATTTCAGAGGGGAATATTTCAACCCCTTGGCCCTTGTAACTCTGTTTTAAGGGCCAAGGGGTACACTCGAAAACAAGGGGTAGGGCCAAGGGGTAAATTGGGATTGAGCCTTAGTATAGTTCACTTACACAAGAGTTCTAGTAACTAAAAAATAACTGAGAGAGTACTTGATCATTTACTTTAGATTTACTCTTTGTATGGCTACTCAGAATTACTGACTCGGAGTGCTGTAGCGTCTGGACGAAATCACAATGACTTATTCATTGTGAGCTTCAGAAAGCTTTTAACCTATTGGACCAGCGCCAATGAGTCTGCATCAAACTGGTCCGTTGACACATTAGTGGCATGGGAGAGTGTGAGCAGAAACACCCCCAAACTTCAGAAAGATCGTAATCACCTCAACACCCCTGATTTGAAATGAACTCTGTAAAAGTATATTCTGAAAATTGATCTAGCCTATATTTCTGTATATTCTATATATTCATAATTTAGCATAATTCGTTGTTGTTAATTATCTATATATAGAGTACAAATACATGGGCTATATATTCTCTTTTTGGACAATTTAAAATATATATGCAATACTTGATCATAAGGCATAACCATGATTAAATATTAAATATATAAATTCCCTTTATTTGAGCTAATTCGCTACAGTGCGTTGCGGCATAAATAGATTATGCCATTGCTTTTTTTGGTAACACTTTACTTGAAGCGGTGTGCATAAGACTGACATGACAGCTTCATAATCATGGCATGACTGTGTGTGCCTCCTCATCTGAGTCTGCTTCCGCAACAGCCTCGAAAACTCTCCTTTTTTTGCTTGACAAAAATGACCCTCAGACCTATCAATTCACCTTAACTTAAGTTTTCTGAGTAAACAAGGAATTGTATGTGGATAGTACAGATTTCTAAATGTTTACATTTACATTTATTCATTTAGCTGACGCTTTTATCCAAAGCGACTTACAATTGCTATATATGTCAGAGATCGCACACCTCTGGAGCAACTAGGGGTTAAGTGTCTTGCTCAGGGACACATTGGTGTCTCACAGTGGATTCAAACCCGGGTCTCTCACACCAAAGGCATGTGTTTCTTATCCACTGCGCCGCCACCACCAGTTCCTTAAAGGTTCTCTTAAAGGTGCTATATGTATTTTTTAGCGGCCTCTATCGGTGATGTTTCAGATTGCAACCAATTTTTACAAGAGCGCTCGTGCTCGAACACAAGAGCGATCACTCATGGTACCGGCCACACTGAGACTTTCAACACACTGGAGAAAGCATCACACAACATGCTGGAAACTCGTGTAAACTCCCACTGCAACGTTACAATAATAGGCTACTTTTATCAGCTTGACGTTGAACTAATGCTCCATGCTCGTACCATGATAACGTTACATCTGTGGTGTTATCTAGCATAAGGCATTTCACTAACTATTCGTGTATCTTTCACAATCAGCAATGTCAACAGGTGAATGTATTATATGATAACGAAAACGGTTAGTGAACCAGACTGAACAATTTCAGTGTAACAGTAAGATCGTAGGAAGTAGCATTACTGTACTGAACGTGTCTGTAAATGTGTATTATAAACAATATGATAGTAGTGGGATGAGTGACGTTAGACAGTAGATCTAGTACACAAAATAAAAGTTACATCCTAAAGCACCTACTTTTTGTTATCCTGGAACAGTCTTTTGTATTCATTTCATGCCTCATGTATGTTGTAGTTTATCTTGCTATTTCATTACAGTTTACCAATATTTATTTCAGCATATCTGAAAACTTGTAATTTATTACAATAAAAATAGCGGAGGTCTCTCCATAATTCAAACGCTTTGCCGATGTTGATCCGTGTTTTCGTCCTGAGTCGATCCGATTCACGTTTGGCCTGACGAGCTTCAGCAGAAACGGTTTTGTTTTGTTTTGTATATTTATGTGGAGTTTGTGCTGGAGTGTGTGTTGTGCTGGAGTGTGTGTTGTGCTGGAGTGTGTGTTGTGCTGGAGTGTGTGTTGTGTTGGAGTGTGTGTTGTGCTGGAGGCAGGAGTGTTTGGGTGTTATCAGACTCCGTCAGCTGCAGTGCCATCGCATAGACTAGAAATAGGAATACTGGCCTTCAGAGGAAATAGCCAAACCCGACAAGTGGATCATTGCAATATGTGATTACAACCCCTTCACACACAGGCAATAAAAAAAGGATTCATGTTAGAAGAAAAGTTCCATATAGCACCTTTAAAGATGTGAACAAACGTTCTTCCAGTAACGTTAATAGAATGTTCGTTTCAAAGTAATCTAATCTTTAATAAAGTTCTCAAAACGTTCGCACAAAAACATCATTTATACATCGTTCATGGAACGTTTTATTCTAAAACGTTCAGTTGCATGCTTGTCTAATGCTTTTCAAACAGTATTTTCTGGACATATAAGTAGTGACATTTTAAAAAGTTGCTATTTGTTTCAGAACGTTCAGAGAACATTCAAAAGTAACGTTCCCATAATGTTTGCAAAATGATAAAAGGGAATGTTTCCCTAATGTTCGCATAACCAATACACATTTTAAAACATTCAGAAATAACATTTTCATGGGAACGTTAGCAAAATGTTCTCAGAGCACGTGTTGGTCAGCTGGGGTTACGACTCGTGATGCTTCAGTCAGCGGTTCAGTAGGTTTCATGCCTGATCGATAGGAGACTTTTTGCATGTATGTGTTGAATAAGCAACTGTTACATATTGGCAGGGGTTTTACATTAACAAACACTGATAAATATAGGCTAATTCCTCATCATTAGTTTGTAAGAGTGACTGAGACAGACAGACATTGGTTTGGTGCTGGGAAATGTAAAGAAACACAGATTGATGATGCTAGACCACTTTTAATATTGTTTTGAAGAGCAGAATAAAACTAAAGTATTTCCCCTTGTCGTCGTGTCACATCAAGATATTACACTAGACACACTATTAACACTAGATAGTATATTGTGCTGAATTTGTATGATTGACCTGTTGATGATAACAGCTGTAACATGTGGAGTCTGGTAAAGTGGATAGAAATCTACAATAAATATATATTTACTTATGTTTAGTTTCCAACCAATCCAAATGTTGGTTTAAGAAATCTTTTTCCCATCAGGAATGACCTCATGGAATCTATTTCAGCAAAAGACTGCTGCATATGCATATGTTTCCCCAAAACCATTTATCTTATTCATCAACAATAAAGACGAGCACAGCGACACGATCCTATGGCAATATTATACATAAAACAGATAATTACACAGTTGAGTGACTACATGAGCTATATGGATATATACTGTGTGGCTATATACAACAATGTTTTACTTTATCTATGTTTAAGCCCTATTAAACCCTCTGATGCATAATGTCTGCTATTGGCAGGTCTTTAAAAAAAAATCATTTCAATTTGTGATGTTACATCTTTACTCATAAATATATATCACTGTTCTCTCTTTTTTTACTGTTTTACTTATAATAACAGAAAATCAAAACGGCTAATGAAAGTGGTGATGCATCATATGCCATGGCAATATTTATTGTATATATTTATTATTATATTTACAATATTTTCTGTTATCTAGCTCTCTCAAAATACCTAAATTCTTGGGAAATATGGGAGAAAATACATATTTTTGGGGAGAGAAAACCTTCATCTTTATAATTAGCATATTCTATATTATTTATTAAAATTATCATTTACAAATCTAAATATTTTTTGGGGGAAATATAAGAGAATGTGTTTTTCTATAAGATCAAAATACATTATTTTAGTGAGAGACAATCTTGCTTTCCTTTTCCTTCCTGGTGTCATCCTTCATGTTTCAGAGGGTTCATGAAAACAGCATGTTTATTCTGGCATCTTGCAGTGACTGTATGAATAACTGAGGTGCATAAATGATGAATATAATGAAGCTCATTCCTCCTCTGAGATCTGCTTCAGCAGGAATCTAGAAATGAAAATCATCATCATTAAACACATCACTGAGGGATTTTACAGCGGATTCACTCGAGACTCACCGTTTTCGACTTGTCTTTGAATCACTTCTTCTTCTTCAGGAGTTTGAGACCAGCTCAGCGTCACATTGGTGATTCCTCTCACAGCCAGCGCTGACGTCAACTGTAGTGAACACTCATTAATATCATATTAATGCATCAGAACAGGATGAGCCTGAAGGATGAGCTATCTGTCTGAACTTCTACACTCCTATAGCCCGTCCCGTGACCTAAGATCTGGTAATCTACATATACTCACTGTTCCTTGTATAGGATTTGTGTGAGAAAACGAACAGTATTTATATCGTTTTTACCTCTTGTAAACACAGCCACGTACAAGTGATCTGATGGCGCCGGCGCTTCGGTCTGCGCAAGCGCCGGAAGTGATCTCTCACGCGTGTACGTCACTCATACAATTTTTTTATTTTTTTTTATTTTTTTTTTATTTTTTATTTTACGACGGTTTAAACATCCCGGATAAGCGCAAATTAGTACCATTTTAATGAGCCGTCTTACCTACAATCTCTGTTCTGTGTAAACAATGAGTGACGTACACGCGCGAGAGATCACTTCCGCCGCTTTCCGGAAAAGACCGAAGCGCCGGCGCCCTCAGATCACTTGGACGTGGCTGTGTTTACAAGAGGTAAAAACGATATAAACACTGTTCGTTTTCTCACACAAACCGCTCGTTTCGTGTCTTAGGCCATCAATGTGTACTTACATTTACGAGTCATTAAATCATGTTTAATCTGGACTTCTCTGTGCATGCTCTTTGAGGTGGTGACCATAGACCTGCATTATATGACTGACAGACAAGAACGCTTTGACCTAAAAATATCAAAATTGAAAATACTGCGGAAACAAAGACAACTACATCTTGGATGCCCTTGAGGTAAGCTAAAACACACCAAAAATTTATTTCAAAGTGAACTATCCCTTTAATGTCTCTCCTCTGCATGTTTCAATTTTTGATTTTGTCTATTTGACTTCTTTATTTTCTGTTTTAAATCTGTACATGTAGTTTCTTAGCTGTTTCTCTTCGATCCTTAGCTTTGTGCTTGTACAGCACTTTGGTCAGTCTTGTGGCTGTTTTAAATGTGCTTTATAAATAAAAGAACTGAACTGAATTGATAAGAGACTCCCATCACACTCTCACCTCTTTAAGCACTTGATCCGTTACTGTCGGGTCGGTCAGATCGGCGCTGGAGTTAAACACTAGCTTCATGAACGATCGTTTTATATAATCTAAAGAAACACATACATTCAAAAAACTGCATCAAACGCAGAGTTTCAGACACACATACTCATTCTTTATTGTGATTACTGACTAAAACATAAAAACATTCAGCTTTATTATTGTTTCTGAAAACTAAAATAAAAACCAACATGGGCTAACTGGAAAAAACAACTACATTTTCATGTCCCCAAAATTAAATGGTCACAAATGAGTTCTAGTTGTAATATGCATGGTATGAAACTTATAGACTAGATCAGCAATAATACTAGTATTATGTAAACAAAACCTATATTAAAAATTCAAATTTCTCACTTGAAATCCCGAGACACTTTTAAAACCTACTCAAGGAGGAACATTGTTGAGGTTCTGTTAGTTGAAGCATCTTATATATAAATAAAAATATATATATTTGTTTTACATAGTAACCACCACAATCTGTATTTGTGTACAAATGTCAAGCATCTATGCAGTCGTGCTCCAAATTTTACATACCCTTTGCAGAATCTGCAAAATGTAAATTATTTAAACAAAATAAGAAGGATCATACAAAATGCATGTGCTGCCCTGAATAAGATATTTTACATAAAAGATGTCTACATATAGTCCACAAGACAAAGAAATAGCTGAATTTATGAAAATGTGTAAACTTTTGAACAGGATGAAGATGTGTATATTTTTCTTATGTTGTTTAAATATCATATTTTTTCATTTAGTACTGCCCTTCGGAGGCTACAGAAGATACTTACATGTCTTCTGGAGGACAATTTACCTTGATGTTCAGATTCATTAATGCATCGTGTTTCCTTCTGGAGCATCAATGAATGTTTAAACCTTTTGTAATACTCGCCCCTCAATTGTCCTCAGTGTGAAAAGATGGATCTCAAAATCATACGGGCACTGCTGGAAAGGGTTCAAATATGCAAAAGATGCTGGAAAACCAAACAATTTGCGGGACCTGGGGAATTACAACATGACATCATGACTTTGTGTAAACATACACGCCACTCGGGACGCGAGTCCCGAGAAAATGGCGTTCGTCAGCTCCAGTTTGTATCCAGCCTCTCACGGAGACTTCAGATGCTCCAATCACAAAGCCTATGAAGTGACGACTCAACACGGGCGATATGGACTCTCTATGGTGGACGGCACTGATCCTCAACAACTCGTCTTAAGACCGGCGTGATTACTTGGACTTCCAAAAAATACTGTAAATGTTCCGATCCAATCTGACTTGTAATGCTGCCCGAATCATGCACTGTTCCTTCGTTGGCCAGAGGAGAACCGGCCCCCCGACTGAGTCTGGTTTCTCCCAAGGTTTTTTTCTCCATTCTGTCACCTGATGGAGTTTTGGTTCCTTGCCACTGTTGCCTTGGCTTTTGGCTTGCTTAGTTGGGGACATTTAACATTTAATATTCAATAATATTATTGATCTGCCTTACTTAAGGTGGACGTTGACGCAATTTCTTTTAGAAACAAACTTTGTTATATTGTTATATTGTTTTTGTTATATTGTTTTCATGTTATCACTGTGAAGCGCTTTGATACAAATCTGTATTGTAAAAAGCGCTATATAAATAAAGGTGACTTGACTTGACTTGACTTTCAAGTCAAGTGGCGTGTTATCTATACGCATTTTGAGCTATCCGCGTGTGTGTCCACGCCGAAATCTTTTGCGTGTATGTCTACGCCATTAAACGTCCGCGTGATTCCGCGTGTATGTGCACGCTGTTAAATGTCCGAGCGAAACGAAGCAAAAAGTAGGCTATATCTACGTCTGTGGAGCGATATTTCTTTTCCTAGGATGGTAGGAGAACACTCATAAATGGTATTAACCCCAGTGACGGGTAGGTTTAGGGACGGGGCTGGGGTAGGTCATATATACAGTAATGTAGTTAAGTCAACGGCGTTGATAAACACGCTGAAAAGCGATTATGCGTGTTGATAGCACGCCAAAAATAGAAATACGAATTCGCGTGTCATACATACGCCATTTCATGAGATCAGTCTACAACTGCTCAGGACAAACAAGGGACTCAAGATCTGCCAGGCAAAGACACACAGTATTAAGAATCATGGGTGTGTAAACTTTTGAATGGGGTCATTTTTATAAATTCAACTATTTTTTGTGTCTTGTGGACTATATGTAAACATCTTTTATGTAAAATATCTTATTCAGCACAGTACTAAATAAAAAATAACATGCATTTTGTATGATCCCTCTAATTTTGTTGAAATAAAATGTTGCAGATTCTGCAAGGGGCGTGTAAACTTCTGAGCATGACCATAACAAAAAGTTCTGTATTATTGATGATCACCTGACTCGTATACTTCCACCTCGCACACCGGGAGGTAGTTCCACCATCCACGAAGGAGGACGTTTACGTACCGTCCATCCAGATCACCGCAGGAGTAGGTGACGCTGCCAGTTGCTGGATCCACTGAGATCACGGTACATCTGCAGAATCGCACATGCAAATTCAACCAGTCTTTTACTTTACATGATTTACATTAACGAAACAAACTATAATGTATACAATTGCATGTAGGCCATTTCTTTAGGAAATCAAAGCGTTTAATTACATGATAATGAGAGATAAACCTCTTCACTGTCAGTCAAGTGACATTCCCAACTTATATTGTTATAAATCTTGAATACTTTATAGCACAGACTTAAGTTTTGTCTCTTTTTAAAGGACACTTAACAGATTATTATACACAGCAAAATCTCCAGAGTTAAATTAACTCTGTTCAGAGTATAGTATACTTGCAGGTCCCACTATAGTAGACTTGCAGGGTGCCATTACCCATTACTTTTGTTCATTGCACACAGCTGAAAGTCTGTACATTTTGCCAATAAACCTGACTTGCAATGGGGGTTGAATAATTTTGATTTTGAACTGTACCCTGGTAAGTGGATAAACTCAACTTTCTGTTTCTATTGCCCCCTTTTGCACATTAATGCATTTGGCAGACGCTGTTATCCAAATTGCATTTCAAGGTACACATTTACAAATTTCTTATCAGTTCTTGCTTTCCCTGGGAATCGAACTCATGACCAGTGTTGGGGAAGTTACTTTTAAAAAGTAGTGTAACATGTTACTCGTTACTTCTTTAAAAAAGTAATCCGTTACTTTACTTAGTTACCCCATATAGAAAGTAACTTTTTACGTTACTCGTTACTTTTACGTTACTTTTATGTTGCTTGACTTTGGGCAGAACCCAATATATGTTCCTAAATGTGTAGGCCTACATAAAGTTATACTATGCATAATGCCATATATAATGCCATAAATGCATAATGCATTTATCAAACATTTTAATATTTATGAAGATATTGGATAGGCATATGCATGGGCGGCGCTAGGGAGGGGCTAGAAAGAAAGCCCCCAAGAAAGACCAAAGCACCCCGTATAGCACCCCCAAAAATCATTTCTGGAAGTAATTATATTCAGGCTGTATTCTATGGAAGTCCTGAACCGCATGGTGAAGAAAAAAAAGAACATTTATCTTGTTATTTAGACATAATAAGGGGACATTCTAATCTGCATTAAGCCAAATTAAGCGTTCTTATAATGGTTTTCTATGGGAGGAAAATGCTTAACGTGTAAGTAAACACGTTGCGTTCATATTCTGGGCTCATCTGATTTTTTGTACATAGTATAGCCTACTTTATTATGATTTTAGTATCATAATGATTAATAAATACACGCACAATTATCCGTGAACTTGATAAATGTTGCAGATATGTTTTACTATGCACGTAAACAAATGCCTTTCAACTTATGTGTGCAAAATTCAGAATTAAATGAATGTGCAGCAATATACAAATAGAGAGTCTGTAGGCCTACTATAGCCTATTAAATAAGCGCATTTAGTTTCATATTTGTTCAAATATTATAATGTTATTTTCTTTCCATCTATGCTGATTATGAAAAGTGAACAGCGCGAGTAAGATGGATGCGCAATATATCGGGAGACATTGAGTCAATCAAACATGATTTTGACCACTTCATTAAGTTTTGTTTTGAAGAAAGCCTTTCTTTAAAGCGAATTTCGTTTTGTATAAATTGTATCTTAATTTTAATTAATTTTTTATCAACCAAATGCCTGGATTTAATACGCAAATATAGGAGACAATATAATCATGGAAGCGCCGGCGTGGTCATTTGCATTGCACGTGAACTGGAGCATCTCATCATAAATTAACCGAAACTCAACGTATAGAATTTAAGCTTGAAATGTCTTTAAACGAAACAATTCAAAACGAAAAGAAATAGGCTACTCTCTGATTATGTAATCCATTATGTGCATTTCTCTCTGGGGCGTTCACTACGGAGATGGCGATCGCGGTCAAATCTACCAAATGACGGAGATCGCTGTCAAATCCCAGGGACAGATAATCTGTCCCTGGGGAAAGTAACGTTGCGCCGAATTGAAAAAGGAACTACGTTTCGTTACCAAATTTTCAGTAGTAGCGCGTTACACAACTTTTTACCCGAAAAAGTAGTTGCGTCACACACAACACTGCTCATGACCTTGGCGTTGCAAGCGCCAGCGCTCTCCTGTTTGAGCTACAGAAAATCTATATTATTACAAGCAGAGACGCCCAGACTTCCCTCTCCCTAGACATCCCTAGACTCTCTTCCAGGGGAATACCGAAGCGTTCCCAGGCCAGCTGGGAGACACAATCTCTCAGCGTGTCCTAGGTCTTCCCCTGGGTCTCCTCCCGGTGGGACGTGTCCGGAACACCTCCCCGGGAAGGCGTCCAGGAGGCGTCCGGAACAGATGGCCGACCCACCTCAGCTGACCCTCTCGATGTGGAGGAGCAGCGGCTCTACTCTCTAAAAACGTGACCTCGATTCAAACACACACAGGATCTTATTCCTAAATGACAATGATTCTATTAAATCTTTGACAAAATCATACCAGAGTGTTCAAATCTGTGTTTGTGCTGCGGCTGACCCAGAGAGAGCAGTTGTCATGTTGAGGAATCACAAACAACCACACATTATCATTATTTTTGTGTGTTACAAATATTCAAATGATCACAGAAGTACCGGGATAAAAGTTTATAGTTCAGACACTAGCCCGGTTTCCATTACAGATATGCGCAAAACTTTTGCAATATTTTCTAAATGTCCATAAAAAACACTATTGCGAAATGGTTTCCATTAACCGATGTTATGAGACCAAAATATATATATTTTTCTCTCGTGATAAGTCATTCCAAAAATCATGGCGACGGATGTCAGTCTCAGCCACTGCACTAGCCATTATTTTTAATGGAAGGAGACGTAGGCGTGTTTTACAAACATTAATTGTAAGGAAAGCCCCTTATACTTGGGAATGGCACATTTCTGCTTCAATATACAATACCGTTCAAAAGTTTGGGGTCAGTGAGAATTTAATTTTTATTTTTTGGAGGAAAGAAATCAATACTTTTATTTATAAAGGACAGTAAAGACATTTATAATGTTACAAAAAATTCTATTTCAAACAAATGCTGTTCTTTTGAACTTCCTATTCATCAAAAAAACTGTACAACTGACAGACCAACAACTGTTTTAACATTGATAATAATAATAAATGTTTCTTGAGCATCAAATCCTCATATTGATTTGTGAAGGATCATTTGACACTGAAGACACTGACACTGGTGATGCTGAAAATTCAGCTTTGATCACAGGAATAAATTACACTTTACTATATATTCACACAGAAAACAGCTGATTTACACTGGAATAATATTTAATACTATAACTGATTTTTGTTGTATTTTTAATCAAATAAGCGCAGCCATGGTTAGCAGAAGAGAATTCTTTTAAAAGTATTTAAAATCGTACCGACCCCAAACTTTTGAACGGTAGTGTATATCGCTTTTTTCACCTTTTTTTTCCCATTTGTTCCCATTGGCTTTTGGCTTGCTTAGTTGGGGACATTAAAGTTATAATTAAATGTAATATTCAACAATAATATTGATCTGCCTGCATTGACACCATTGTATGAGAACTGAACTGAGCTGGACGATGACATCACATTTTTCCCCGGAGCTGCTATATATATATAAATTAAGTAAATGAATAACTTTTTTACAACAAAATTAAACACCACTGGACTTACTTAAGCTGGACTGTGACTCTATTTTCTTCTGGAAACAAACTTTGTTGCACTATTTTCCTGTTCTGTAAAGCTGCTTTGATCAATCTGTGTTGTAAAAAGCGCTCTATAAATAAATGTGACTTGTCTTCAGGGTCTTTATTGTGGCATTTCTTTGTTGTTTAGAATCCAGTATTCCCATAATTATTTTGCCTTTTATGAGTTTAATAAAGAACTCTATCTCGTCTTCTGTCCAAACATACGGTGGAATCTACGTCATGTGACTGTAAACGTGGAAAAACTGTTTCCATTGCAGTTTTGCGAAACATTCCTTTTTCGTATTCCCTGAAAAACCACCTCATGTGAGCGTACTTTTTTTTTGTGCAAAATTTACGTTTCCATTGGGCGTATTTTCAAATCGCAATTTCAATTTTTGCAATTTGCAGGGTAATGGAAACGCAGCTACTGATTTGGAAGCGATAGAAATAAAGCAATCACCTTTTGAAAGTAACTTGGTGCTTCAAATAATTGTATCGATTACATCGTTACACACCAGTAGGTGGCAATAAGCAACTGTTAAAAATGTTATATTTTCATTGAATTCATTCCCAGGTGGGTCCCCAGGAGCACGTTTAAAGACCTACATCACTCGCGACTGACCTGGGATTGTCGTTTCCGTTGTCCCGCAGAGAGTTTCCGAAGTGAATTTCAACACCTTTCCATCTATCAAGACAGCAGTCTTCTCTGTAAGTGACGACCACGATGTTCACTCGATACGAAGCCTGGAGATCCAGCCTCCACCACGGGTTTTGTCCCAAACTGGTTACGGCACAAGAAGTAGAAAGTGTAGAGAAATCCTTCACACCGTCAATGGCGAGCTCCGCTGACTTAACATAGGATGTCATTGCATAGTGTGTCGTTGACTGAGCGGCGGTTCCTCTTGGAGCCAGATTCTCTGGAAAAAGCAAATTAATTTGATGTGGAGAGAGGAAATTTCATGAAAAATTATCTTAAGATGCAAATGATGTGTAAGTGCACCTATAACTATAATTTGGGTAGGCCTACAATTTTGTAGACACGGCTAAATCTGACAAAACTCATTTGTAAAAACGATATACAAATGAATTAAACAAGATTGTTGTTGTTGTTGTTATAAAAGTACAGAACTTTTATTTAGGTACTATTGCATGTCTGTGCATTTTAAATCTGTGCAAGTAAAGGTTTCTCTACCTTGAGCGCCACTTGTATGCTCCTGAACACAAAACAGCCCTGTGTGAAAAACAGGCTTTCTTAATGACAGATCAATATGAAAAACAGTCAGATGTAAGGAGGCAAATGAGCAACTTTAGATTTGTTTTGTAAA